TTATATATACATAATGTGTTTTTAAGCCTTCTGGTATATCATTTTGATTTTTTCGATCATTTAAACTCTCTTCACCTTCTATTAAATATAATAAAACTATCATATGCTCTACTTGATAATTATGTTCTGAAATATGTAATGGATCTATATCTACTTTTATTTTTCTAAAAGCTTCTCTATAAAATGGTTTAAATATATTAATAGCATAATTAGGATTGCTTTCTTTGAATTTATCTATATCATGGAGTGTTGCTGGAAATTTTATACCTTCAAAATTTGCTATATTTGCATTTTGTCTAAGTCTCCGGATTTCATTAAGATGTGGTAGCTTTTTATTAGCTTTTATTGCTTTCTCTTTTGTGTAATATGCACTTATACACTATTTAAAACACTCATTATTGTCCCTATTTTGTGGATTAATTATTCCTAGTTGTAGCTTATCTAAAGCTTCTGGTAAAGGTAGATAACTACTACCTTGCAATAGTCTGAATGCGTTTATCTCGAAAAATACTTCTTCTGCTCAAACAAATGACTATCCTGATTCTTGTATTGCTTCATCCTCAATCTGGTCTTTAATTTCATTATATCTTTTTCAATAGTTGCATTGATTTGATCTTCTCTAATTATTTCTATAGTTTCATGCTTGAATGGAAAAGTTTTATATATAGGTTTTGGTATTTCCAGTTTAATTTTCTTCATATATGCATTAAACACAATTCTTATCTTTAATCCACCCTTTAAAGCTAACTCTCTTTTGTAAACATTAACAATCTTTTCTTCGATTGATTCAAAGAAACCTAAAGGCTCATTTTCAGCATAGTATCCTTTTGGTATGAATGCATAGTAATCACATACTTTGCCTTCATTTAATTTTTCAGCTTTTGTTATTCTATTAATATAGAAATCTATAATTTTTTCGAAATGAATATCTGGTTCTTCTTCAGCAGTATCATATTCTGAATCACTTGGTTCACTATCTTTTTTGTTATCTATTTCCATTAAATCATACTATTCTTTATCGTTTTTA